GCTCTGGAATAGATCAGTGTGAGCCAGGTTGTCACATTTCCAAAGCCAACACTGACCATGGCAGCAGTATTGACCGAGAGAAAGAAGCTGTCTCGAGCGCTATCTGAAGCGGAGGAACGTGCCAGTGCGGCCACAGCGGAGCTGAAATTAGCGAGGCTCGATACTGTACGTCTCTCCTATTCTCCACGCTTGCAGTAACCGGATACATATCAGTCTAGCAATCACCACAACGCATCATGCAGTGTCGACGCACCTACTCTGCAACCGTCTCAGAAATCTCCCGGCTCCGACAGAGACCCCGCACGCATGCCATCGAACACTGACACTGTACAGTCCTCGGCATCAAATATAATCACTTCGAAGCATCTCGATATCTTATTCCGCCCGGCGGACGGAGGCCGGTCCAAAAACTGTCTCATTTGCCTGTGCGTTTCGCGTTTATGAGCGACTCAAACTTAAACTCATGATCCATTGTTTGATCTTTCAACATAGGGCTCTCATCACATACGACGGTGACGAGGACTTTTTTGCGTTGATGTTACATGCACTGGGAATACACCCGAGTGAATGTAGTGTTTTCGCCAGTCTCCCGGATGAACAACTGGAATTATATCGACAGGAGTTGCAATGAACAAGGCTCAAGTTCGCATTTCTCTCGGATCCTTTGGGGCCCTGCGGCGGAGTGTACTATGAAGTTTAATAAAGGCTATTGTATACTCTAGCATCTCCAACGAGCTGTTAATTCTGGGTTACCGTTCGACCATTTTGCGAATTTGCCAACCTGAGTCTTGGTCAACAATAACACGAGCATTGAGCGTGCTGCTCGAAGAAAAGGATCGTCGGGGTAAAAACCGAGGATAAATGGCAAAGGCTATTGGAAGGCCGCTGTAAATAGGCCAAGTCAACCTGGTTCACCTGCAGGTTGACTTGGTTTCACTTGAGCATCCGGGCCGCGCTGACGTTGTGGCAGGGTAGTGAACCTACGCGCCAGGGAGTTCTGCGCATTGTGAATGAATGGAGGTTGGACGACCGCGTTTTACTCCCGAATCATCAAAGTTGAGAGATAGCGTGCGGTTTTCAATCCACCGTAAATGGGTATATGATTAATTACATCCAGCTAACCTGCGGATCAGCAATCATACAATCGGATAGTCCTAGTCCCTTGCCTAGTCCGACATATTCAACTGCGTCAAGGAATCGCCGCAAGGATCTGTTCCGTGTACGCGACCAAGCCCACGACGGCGGCGTCGGACCCGCCGTAGCCCTTCATCGGGACGCCGTTCAGAAAACCCTGTGTGTGCGCGTAAAGAACGTTGAATCAGCCACAACACATCATCCAACCAAGAAGGGATTGAACCCACAAATTTGTTAGCAGCGGGCGACGCAGTGTCCACCTCTATCACTTTGTGGTCAGGGGTGAAGACGTGCGAAGAGACGATGTCGCCGTGGTCGCCGCGGATGAACAGCCCCCGCTCGGAGTCGAGGAGTGCATAGAGCATATATTTTGCGCGTTCGTCCTGTTAGAGCGTAAATCATGAGTCAAAACATAGTAACATGTAAGTAGGTAGTTGCGAGAAACAGTTGGTGAAAAAGAAAGAAGAGGAGAAGGGATGACAGTGAGGAAGGAAAAAATGAAAGAGAGAAAGCGCACCTGGGTGAAGGCAATCAGCGTCCGCCTGAAGTAGCCCAGGAGCCATGCGAGGGGTGCAAAGAGCCAGCCGAGGGACACGTCGGAACCGCCGGCGGTGAGGACCTGCCCAGGGTGAATGTGCGTGAAGGCGAGGGTGGGGTGAAGAGCGGCAAAGTGCTGCAAAAGAGAGGGAATTAGTGGATGAATGAATTAGACGAGAACAGAAATGTAGTAGATTAGACGAGGATGAACGCGAGGTTGAATGTTGAACACGGATAAAGAGACGCGTACCGCGACGAGCCCATCGTTGTAGCCCACACCTGTGATCATACCCTTGACTGCTGCGATGTCCTGAATTTAGGTTAGAATCCAAAAAATCCCCAGAGTGGTAGAATGGATGGAATGGAACGAACAGGCACGAGTCCCTGCAGCAGCTTGATCGACCGGCTGCGCGCCTCGTGTAGCCCAAGGTCAGTCGTGCGCATGTGCACCCCGAACCCTGCGCCTAGGACCGTCATGACGTGCGCAGGCTGGCCCAGCTCCTTCGCGGCGACGAGGAGCGGGAGGAGCTCCTTTGTGAAGAGGTAGCGCATAAAGTACCTAAATATACGCGCGCCAAATATCAGTCGTAGAAAAAGACGAGAAAAGAAATCAAGAAGAGACGACGAACCGCATAGCCAAATGCGCGTTGATTCCCTCGGGGGTAACAACGGCCTCTGTCAACGAATTCGCCGCGGGTCCTCCAGCGGTGATGATCAGGAAATTAATGCGTTTGAGTCGGGCGAGGAGCGCCTTACACACGACGCGCACACTCGCCATGCTCGCCGCGTCGCACTGCACGAACTCGTGTGTCCATCCTTCTTCTTCGCCTGACGGCTTTGGGAAAGACGCGAGGATTTCCGCAGCAGCTGCTGCGTTGCGCCCCACGATGATAATATGTGTGCGCCCGTTCGTCTGTCGCGCGAGAGCCTCTGCCATAGCTTGGCCAACACCTGATGTCCCGCCGACGACGACGGCGACGGGGATGTAACTGGGGGCGAAGGCAGCATTGGATGCTTCTACAACGGCGAGGGAAGGCATTTGCGAGTGGGTTATTCGTTTGTCGTATAAAGCCTATGTATGTGTTGAGGATGCCGAGGACGCGCCCGGACGCGTCAGTCTGCATCACGTTTCGGCTCGGCAGGTTCCTTGATGGGATCTGTGATGTCTGAAGTTCAACCTGCTGAAGCTTGAACCCATGATAAGTACTGCAGCAGCGAGAAAATTGGGGCGGCGACCAGGCTCCAGAGTACACGTAGCCTAGCACATTTATAATCATGGATGGGCCTGTCGCAAGTTCAACCATTGAAAATTCATCTTTCAGAGGCGGCATCCCCAAGCCTAGGTCCATAACACAGTGTGCGTGAAGAGAAGGGATCGGGAGGGAAACAAGCTTCCGGCGGACTCACAAGGTGAGCTCGGAAATAGTGAAGAAATCGGTGGCGCGATTCATTTCTACTTTCCATTTTACATGCTATAAAGACTACTTATTGTAGTCTAGGATCTTTTCCGAGCGGCTTCCTCCGGGTTACCACTGTACGATTTGCGAACCTGAAAGGCCGCTGCAAGTCAACCGGTTCACCTTCAGGTTGAGTTTCGCTTAATTATTACCCCGCTGTAGCCCAATCAAGCGCAGTGACCTCTTGTGACCGTGACCCCCAATCTTTGCCTCTTTCTTCTTTCATGAAGGCAGAACAACCTGGCCCGCAGAACTACACACCAAGAACCTCGTCACCTATCGAATTCCAGTTCAAATGGAGGGCCTTCCGCGTCAATCCACAAAATGTGGAACTTGACGACTTCCCCTTTCACCCCGAGTTGCAACAGGACCGCTATTCCATACATTTCATCGAATTCCGCTCCTCTTTCGACCCACCAGTTGATATTGGCAATCCCGGAGATATCTGGTTGAACGTTTCTCGCCTTTCATACACGCTATTCGCATTGAACGCGAAGAAAGAATGGATCAGATGGCCAGGCCCGACGCTGGACAAAGAACGCATGATCCCACATCCGTTCCTGCCGATTTACGCCCTCTGGTGCACGATCAAGCAAGCTAGTTGGTACCATCGTGACAAGCTGGGACGCGATTGGAGCGGCGAGAAATTGGTGGCGCGGCAAAAGCTGGGCGGGTACTCCTGTGTCGACAGTATGCTGGGTCCGTCCGCAGGCGTACGTCTCATTCTTCTCCAAGAAGAAAAAGCCCAACGCTTGTTCGTCCCTCCTGGGGCGGCCTCATCCGCGTCACGCACCACCTCAATAGATGACCAGCTAAAGTCGGCGGTCGGCGGATTAGCCTCGTCCAGGGACCTACCTCAAATCGAGGAAGCCCTTGTTTCGACCCTCAGCGCTGGAATAGATCACTGTAAGTCGGGTCCTCAGGTTCAGAAAACCAACGTTGACTGAGCGACCAGTATTGACTGAGCGAAAGAGGCTCTCCCAGGCGCTATTTGAAGCGGAGGAGCGTGCCGCCATGGCGGAACTGAAATTAGCGAGGCTCGATACCGTACGTGTCCTATACCATATCCTCGACGTTTGGAGTAACCACGTGCACAACAGTCCACTAATCACTACAGAGCACACTGCCATGCGTCCACCAGCTCCGTACCTGCTCCGCACTCATCTCAGAAATATCTGAGCTCCAACAGAGACGACAGAGACTCCGCACGCAAGCACCCTCCAGACACGATGGACAACACTGTACCGTCCTCTGTATCAAATATTATCACTTCGAGGCATCTCGATATTTTATTCCGCCCAGCGGAAGGAGGCCGATCCAAAAATTGCCTTATTTGCCTGTGTGTTTCATCCACTGTCTGACTGAAACCAAATCGACTCATCCGCCCAATAGGGCTCTCGTCACATACAACCCTGACCAGGAAATTTCTGCACTGATGTTACATGCACTCGGAACGCACCCGGTTGAATGTAGTGTTTTCGCGAGTGTCCCAGGTGACCAACTTGAAGTATATCGACAGGAATTTCAGTAAATGATATCCAGACTCGTGCTCCTCCCTTTAATCATTTATAACTATTAACGTCATGTACTAAAGGCTACGCTATTGTACTGCCATATTTTTTCACTTAGCTATCACGATTTTGGGCTGCGATTCTACGATTTCGTCACGTCGATTTACACTCTCGAAGAGGAATTCAAAGTAACGACGAAGACTATTGCGGATGAGAAGATATGGTAAATCCGGACAAGTCCACCAGATTCATTTTAGTTCAGGCTGAAACGAAAATCTAAATAGTGAATCGATTGTGTGTTGTTGAACGCAAACGATCCGCTCTCGGGCTGGAGATTGCTTTAACCCCACTTCTTTTCATGTCTTGACTAGTATATCGGTTAGTACACGCGCTTGTCATTTGATTACTGCAATAAATAGCCGCGCGAAAGCTGGGTTCGACTCCCAGGTCGAGAGTTTCTTTTTAGCATTTTGGATTGAAAATTCAATGTATTTTTTTGCGGCTCCTGAAGCACGCATGGCTTGAAGTTCGATTTTCTGGTCTGTAGTATTAATTATTGATCTCGCGCTACTGTGAAAGCCTCGCGTATTACCTATCGGAGACGTTGTGATATCTTCAAAACACACTCAAGACTGAACTGGGCTTTCAAACCAATGATTCCTTCCTTTGAGCACAAACCCCAAGAATTGAATTTTTCTATATATACCCCATCAGATTGATATTTGCCTCCACCGTATCCAAATTCAAGCAGACTCCTCCATCTAAAAGAGCAGCAGCAAAGTCAAACCTCCGGAGCTGCAGCAGAATCAACCACGACCACGATGGACGTGGAGGCATCAGGCGCGATGGGATTAAGAGTTGAAGGCGCAACGCTGCCTTCAACTGGCTTGACGGTCTCCTCAACCGTCTCAGCCGTGGTCAATTCCACGCCAGAATCTACAGCAGCGTCGAGGATGGGGGATGTCCCCACAACAGCAGGCGGTGGGGAATCTACTGCTTCCAGAACTGCGGAGGGCGTGACTTCAGTTGATTCCGTTGCCTGGGGAGAAGCAGCAGACTCCTGCGATTCGGACACCACAGGCGCGGCCAAGGGATTCACAGACTGCGAGGCCGCGGAGGGTTCGGCCTCGGCAGTCGAATCCGTTGGTTGAGAAGCCTCAGCCGAGTCTAATGTTTCATCGTCGGATGGTAGAGGGATCTCCTCAGGTTTAAGCTTAGGTTTGAACTCAAACAGCGGCGCCAACTCGCCCGGCGGGTACGCCTTTTTCAAAAACTCGTGCTGAAAAAAATGCGTCTCAGTAACGAAAATCAATCAACCATCCTGGAGAATAAATTGGCCGCACCTCGAGAAGCTCGCTGGTACTCGGGCGCTGTGCAACATCCACAGCGAGGCAATCCGACAGGAAATCCTTGAGCTCGTCGCTCAGCGCGTCCGGCGCCTTGAGCTCGGGCGCGCCATTAACGAGGATTAGGAAGAGCACCTTGAGCGGCTCCTGGCCGGCGTACGGCGGCGCGCCGTCGATCATCTCGACCATCGTGATGCCGAAAGCCCAGACGTCGACCTCGAAGCCGTACTCCTTGCGCTTGATGACCTCGGGCGCGGTCCAGTGTGTTTTGTCGACTGTGTACGGGGAGCGGTTGGGGAGCGAGAGGGTGCTGACCATGGTGCGGCGCTTGGCCGCCTTGTCGGGCAGCTGGACGGAGAAGGCCAAACCGGCTGGGAGAGAATATTTATTTATTTCATGCAAGGCGAGAAAAGAAGCGCGTACGCACTGATTTTTACACGGCCTTTTGCGTCGATGATAATGGAGTCGGAGCGCATGTCGCGGTGGATGATTAACTGGCTGTGTAGATGCGCAAGTCCTTGGCATGTCTGAAAAAAGCCTCGGTTGAAACGGAATTCAGGATGTCGGAACTGCACCCACCTCGACACAAATGCGGGCAATCTGCTCCTCCGTGAATTTGCTGGCTGTGTTGGCAATGATATCGCCCAGGGTATGGCCGCCCGCGATGTACTCCGTGACGAGCAGCACCTCGGACTCCTCAACGAGGTACAGGTCATAAAAGCTCACGACGTTCCGGTGGGAAAGCATGTCGCGCATGAGGAACAACTCCGTGATCAGGCGCTGGCCTGTGAACTTTTCGATCGGAGCCTCGAGTACGTTGCTCTTTACGACCACAGTCTCACCCGTGCGCGAGGCCCGTGCGGTGTAACTGGTCCTGCCGAGTTGGTCCACACTGAGGCTGTCGAGGATCGTGTAGGCGTTGAGCGGGTCGCCTTCGCGGCAGACACGGCGCAACTCTCCGATGATTTGGTCGTGCCAGAAGTAAGCTTCTTCAAGCTCGTCTTCTTCGTCGTCTTTCTCGAAGTCGCCCTTGTCCCCGTCTTCCTCGTCTTCACCGTCTTCACCTGCTTCCCCTCCTTCATGGTCCTCTGCCGACGCGTCTTCTTCCTCCGCCGGTGGGCTCCCTTCTCTGCTGGTCGAAGCAACAGGAGCCTCATCGGCATCCGCATCTGTGGTAACTTTGGCTGGCTTCTCCGGTTCCACAATAGTTATTTTCCGGGCAGCAGGAATGACATCTGCTTCCCCATCCGCTGCACCGATGGACTCAGATACGGCGGAAAGGGATACTGGGGGACGATCGGGTGGAGTCGTACTCGTCTCAGAGTCCTTGCTTGAGGTCTCCATGGGAAGAGTAGATTTCTGGAAAACGGGAGATCGACGTCAAAACCAAGTAAGGTAGCGGACACACATCATCGGTTGCCCCACGTGAGGTGACGGTCACACTACCTTTTTGGGTCAGAAATGGAATCAACAGTGCTTTGCCTGCCTCCTCGAGAGATTATCGAAAATCTGGCACAACAGAATTTTGGAGATATATGTAGAGAGTAATCCCAAAATTTCTCAAAAAAATCGGTGCAAAACTGAGAGATGAGAGTTGATTATAGTGCTAATTTGCTACAGACCTGCATTCGGGTTGCCTCCTCGCATGATTCCAGCCGCCAGCATGTCCCTTTTGAAGCTCGGAGGGAGCATACAATGTCCCTTGTATTTTCTAGCTGCCCAAGCCGCCTGCGGCCTATCTAACCCGTGGCGGTACGCATCGGCGAAACGGTGCGTGTGAAGAACAAACCGACGCATTGAATCTAACGGAACCTGATCTAGTGCAGCAAGCGTGTTCCGCTCAAGTACATCCTCCCGCGACAACTCGGGATTCAGGCAATAAATTCGCTTGGTAATGCGCGCACTCAAGCCTCGTGTTCAGGTACACTGACTACCTATTTTGGACACTAGTAGCCCAATTCTGAATATTTTACCGAAGTTTGACCTAAGGAGGCAATGGCAGACCGATCCCCAGAGAACTGTTGGGCCAAAATTTTTATTTTACTTCTTCAGGTTTAATTATCGTGTTTTCTCTCCATCGGCTTCCCAATATGGTATGTCACACTGTGATCACGTGGGGCAACCGATGATGTGTGTCCGCTACCTTACTTATACTAGTAGTGGTAACAGCTTTCAGGTAACAGATCACTCGTGGCGCTTGTGCGGCGCGACAACGCCGACGATCAGGGGCAAAGGCTTCCGCGAATAACAACGCGTCAACACGTCAACAGCATTTTACAGCTTTGCGCAATTCTTTCAATTTCGATTGGCACGCGTAGACGGAACCTGTGCGACAGCGAAAGAACGACTGCGGTGCCATGGGCGCTTGAAATCGGACGCGCAGAATTACATCATCCGCGGCCGCGCGGCATTTTGCTTTAAGTTGGGGCGGGCCCGGGAGAAATTGACAACTTCAACTGGCAGCGAATCATTACCATTCAATACGATGGCTGCGCAATGCGGTATCTCCGTCATCTCTTCTCAGTAAACTTGAATCTTTCACCTCGCTTCCGACTTCCATCTGAATCCATCACGGTTCAACTTCCTTCGCCGACGTCCCATACTGATCAACTCCAAGTTTTTCTCTTTTCCGCCCTGGCTGCCCGTTGTGTCTCAACTCCTTAGACGACATGCCCGAACCAGGCTGACCCGTACTCTCCACTACGTCCTTGGAGGTCGCGCCTGGGAGCTGATCGTACCCCGTCCCGGCATCCGTTGCCTGATTCTCGTTCTCGGCCGATGCGTTTTTGTCGACGTAGGTGCCGACAGTGACGGGCGAGGGTTGGGGCTGCTGACCTGGCAAGAAAAGTGAATTTTGTATGAGACGGGAATATCAATCCTGGTTGAACTACAGGTACATACCTGCTGGTCTCCCGTCCACAATGCCCTGGTCGGTAATATCGGTGGCGTTCTTGTAGTTCTGGATTCCAGACATCGTAAGGATATTTTAGTTTGAAGATCCCCGACCTGCAGCCTCGTTTTTATATCCCGCGAACTGGGTCTAGAACATGACATCAACTTTGAGCTCACCGAGTGGATTCGGTGTGGATACTTCAACTATGACTTAACAGTTATCAGCGATGACTCAAAGGGCTGGTCATGGTCTTGCTTCGAATTCTTGATTCATGTTCTTTGCGGTAATTATTCAGTGCATTCGACTGGCAATACTTCAATCCGAGAAGGATGAGCCAGGTGCAATATCTGAAACGACAGAAGATCGAATTCGGAATACTTGACCCAAAATGAGAAAGAGGAGTGGTCTCCGCGTAGTGTGATATTAAAATCCCTCGTCTTTCGTAGGCGCTTTATATCAATACTCATACCTCGCTACGTATATAAACAAAATTCCTCCCTGATAATTTAGTTTGAAGATCCTCGACCTGCGGAGTCGTTTTTATATCCCGCGAACTGGGTCTAGAACATGACATCAACTTTGAGCTCACCGAGTGGATTCGGTGTGGATACTTCAACTATGACTTAACAGTTATCAGCGATGACTCAAAGGGCTGGTCATGGTCTTGCTTCGAATTCCTGATTCATGTTCTTTGTGGTAATTATTCAGTGCATTCAACTGGCAATACTTCAATCCGGGAAGGATGAGCCAGGTGCAATATCTGAAACGACAGAAGATCGAATTCGGAATACAGTTTTCAACCGGTCAGTGGGACACTTAAATTGAATGACCGATCTAAGGAGTTTTTGACGCTTTTTTCATAATCCTGGTAGACCAAAAGTTTCATTTATATGTTGTACAACTCTATATATGAGGTCTTAATTTTTGAGATTGAACTAGGGGGTGAACAGCGGTGAACTTCTGCCACCACTCAGTGGAACAGTCACGAAAACGTGATGATCGTCACAAACATCATGATGTTGCCGTGATTTGGCTGCCAGAATAAGTGTTTGTTCTTCATGATACTGGTCCAACGTCCATTTGGCGTGATGATAGAAAGGAATTGGGGTACTCTTGGTATCATATCTGCCAAGTCCGAGCACTCAAAGTGACCTAAGTCGAATTTGTAGTGACTTCCTATTTGGGATGTGACCATCCCGAATCTCGGCAAAGAGAA